TAACCTTTTTTTTTTTTTGGTAATGCTGACGAAACAAAGATAGAAATGTCAGAAGAACTGCCCAAGCCACAGAAGAAATAATTATCAAAGTTATGGCTAGGATATAAGCATATTTATTTCTGTGGCTTGTGTCCAGAGCCCACAGAACCCTGCCTGTTTGTTAGGTTGTACTTGTGTTTTAAACAGTTTAGGTAAGGAAGCACTTGCGAGATAAAATAATTGCACAGAAATTAGTGACTAAATACAGCCTTTATTACAGAAACACCAATAATATAAAAATAAAGAGCATGTTTTGCTTCTCATAGCAAACTATTTTTAAGCAACCATATATTATAGCAAGCTATAAATGGTCAACCAAACCATCTTCATACACTCAAGATGCTCCTTTACATCTCCCTTTCAACCAGAATGAACAGCTGTTTTTTAATTTGGACTTTATCTATCAGAGAGAAAAAAGCACTGGAAGAAAATAACTCTTGCTTTATAAACTCCTTGGTGATTTGGTTAAGTATGACATCATCACGCTCATGGGATGCCCTTGTGTCTACGTTGGGTGTGCAAGAGACCACAGCAAATGCTCTGGGCTGAGAGGTGCAGCAGAGCATCAGGGAGCTGTAGGGATGTGCTCACCTCCTAATTTCCAGGAGTGGCCCCACGGTGTCCTGACCAGCACATGCCTGCAAGCAAGTTAAGCATAGCTTCCCTGATGGGATGCATCATGTCGTCATGATCAGCATCTTCTGGTTCAGGGGTGGTTTGATCTGAGTCCGCAACTGGGGGAATAAAGTGTGCTGGGGCTGCTGAGGCCAGCACTGCTGGTCGCTCTGGGAGCCAGCTGCAGCCTTGTCCCCTCACACAGCAGACTCTGCTCTTCTCTCAGCTCTCTGGGTACATGGGCTCGTGCTGACTCTGTGAAGGGTTTTAGCATGAGGATTTTTAGGGCATGTTGGTTGGTGAATCCCTGTCCCAGGCAGTGAGCAAGTTGCTGAACAAGAGCCTGGCTGTGGCAAGGAGCAGCCCTGGAAGGGAAGCAATCTCCCAGGCTTAGAAATTGCTGTTTTAATCTACATCCATATCAATAGGAAGCAAAGAAACCGTGCACTGCTGCCCATGGTGTGACAGTGATGACCCACCTAGTGTACAGCTGGTTTATTGTAAGAGCCTCTTCTTTGATGGTGCTCTTTTAGGGACTTTTTGCTCAAAATGTTTCCTCAGACAAGATGTTTAAAAGACGAAGCCTGGCAACCAAAACCAATTACACTTATAGAGTCTTCCCACTGGGAGGAGGACCTCCATTAGAAAAAAAGTGCCAGCCAAATATCAACCTAAATTCTGGCAGAAAAATAAATACCGGCATCAGCTTTAAAGCCTGCACATGGCGACTCATGGTGCAGCTGGCCTATCTAATTCTGATTCAGCATTTAAATTCAGAGAAGCAACAGTCCCTTCTGTGCTGGCGTGCTGAGACGCATCCCTGCTGCAGGCTGTTGGTGTGTGTTGTGGTCAGGGAGGGAGGCGACGGCATCCGGGCTGGGCTGCAGGCGGGAGAAAGGCTGCACTTCAGGGCTGGGATCTCCTGATGCAGTAAGGAGTTCTCCAGTGGATCCTCCACTACTGTAAAGCACCAACTCCATTGGATTAATTTTGCAGCATATTGGCAGCTTTTCATGGGAGCATCCAATTATTTCATCGGTTTATACCACGTGCACTTCACCTGTGCCGTTCAGAGCAAGCCCAGAGTACTATTCAGCTAGAAAGGGCAGTGTGCAGCTTCAGAAAAATAGCAATCAAATAATAGCAACAAAAGGCATAAGATCAAATCAGGTAAACCCAAATCCAAGCATTGTCCAATACCAGCAGTTTCATTCATGGTAGAAAGAAAGAAGTGCAGGGAAAAAAATCATTAACCTTGAATCATCAGTAAAAATGCCAGAGGGTGTCACAAGATTAAACACAGAACTGTCAGTCAGTAAGAACAATTTTCTCTCCTCATGTTGATATCAAATGGTAACAGACTGAATGTTAACATAAAGAGATTTTTCAGTACAGAACATAACAAGAAAATGCTATATCCGTATGGGTAGAAGTAACAAACTGTACAGATCGTGCCACCCAACAAGTCAAACATGTGAAAGAGGACTTAGTTCTGAGTGGGGAAGATGTCTGTTGATCACTAGTCAGAACAGCTTAGGGTCAGCTCCTGTGCGGTGCTGAGATTTTTCGTCAGTGTTGGTTGTTAAAATGTCCACATGTAACGGTTTGGGACAGTAGCACCACTACTGCATACAGAGGCTCATTTGCAAATGGAAGTTCTTCCATGTATTTACCTTTCCTGCTGGACATCTCATCAATTCTCTAGTGTCCAACTGGGGTGGGAAGGAAGAAGGAAGAAGGGTGAAAATAAGCTAAATAAAGTTCACTAAGCAATACTAACAGTGCTGGAAGCTTTTACAAAACAATGCTTTTGGAGTATTCAACCAAATACAGTTCAAATCACTGTATCTGTATTAAAGGTTTGAAACTTTAGTATTCTCTTTCTTGTGCTAATTTACCTTATAATGGCATTCAGCTGCCTCCCTTGCTCACAGCTGGTTCTGACTTCTGTCTTATGTTTCTCTGAGTGCAAAAGTGCTTCAAAACTGTCTTTATTTTTCTTATTTGTTGGTTTATTCACACTCAAAAGGAACATTTCTGGAGACTGCTAATTACTTCCACAGCTACGTGTCATGTTGATTGTGGAACAGTATGATCCTGTTTCCTGCTTGACGCAGACCAGCATCTTCCAGTAATTACTGGAATGGAAGGATTTCTTTTCTATCTTCAGTTAAATAAGTAAACTCTCAATGGTTAAATACTAGTAAAATATCAAAACTATTTTAAAAATACTTAAGGGAAATTAAACTCACAAGATATTTTCGTCAGTTATGGCCAGTGAAAATCCATTAAGGTTCCATCACCATTAATAATTGCTCAGCATTTGGGCCATTATTAGTGGAAGTTAAATTAGCTCCCAGTATTTCTACTTTGTTTAGATCCAGATTAAACAAACAACAAGGAAATTTTGCAGATAACTTCAGTCTTTCTTTTGTTTAGTGGGTGCCGTTCCACAGTCCTTTTCCAGGCAAAACTTTTATTGTTAAAATTTAAGCCCTTATTCTAAATCCTATGGAAGCTGTGTACTCTTATTTGATATAATTTTCTCTTTTGTAAATGTTTGAATATATAATTTCTTATCATTTTGATGTCATTTGCTGCAGTGAACAGATTGTGTGGTGTGTGCACGCGTGTGTATGTGTATGTGCACATTTGTGCGTATGTTTAGCTTTGTAAATATTTTGTGACAAGAAGATTTTCCTTGTTACAATAAAGAATATTAGCTGAACTTAAGCTTAAAAGCAATTACTACTTTCATGCCTTCATCATTGGCTTAGCGGGAAATAGACTACAGAGCCTATCAATTAGTGCTCTATAAAGCAACTCCAAATTATTTCCGTATGAAAATCCAGCTGCTCAGCTGTAAGCACACTGGAGAGCATTCACTCTGGGGCAGAGAGCTCGTCTGAGACCCGTGCAAGCTTTTATTTCCCACCGAATCCCTGAACATACAGCATCAAGGGATTTCCATTTGCTCATGGACCTTGTGCCCATCTGCCACAATTGCGGTCCCTTGATCGCTGGCATTGTCAGTGAGTGTGGTGTGTTCCCGGGTCAAGAGAGACCACAGTGCTGCCATCTCAGCAGAGCGACAGTTACTGAGTTCAGTGGCCGTCACTGTGCCAGGTCCGTGTCTGAACAGGAAGTGGGTGACTCATGAGCTCTCACAAGACCACGAAATATTAAGCTCCTTGAATTTATCCAGCAAATTCGCCCCAGTCCCCATCTATTGCACTGGCATCCTCAGCACCAGCCCACGTGTCCCAGCGCTTTCAGACCCTCCAGTTAGCTTTCTCTGCGTTGTGTCGCAAATGTGGCAAAGGGATGCCGCGCCTTGAGCGCCGATCAGCAAGTGGGGTGGCTTGGCCTGGTGTGGCAAACGGATGGAGTCGCTGCCTCCGAACACCTGCCCAGTTCTGCTGCACAGACATCTCGGCTGCCTGTCAGTCAGCTCCCGGATTGGGCAGTTTGCCACAGAACACTTCAGGATAAACTGACCAACGCCAGATTGCTCTAACGCGCTGTGCTTTGTGAGGCTGCAGTTCGACAGCTACTGGCAAGACGCTCAGACAGCTTTGCAGCAGGGCTGACAGGAGCAACGACAAGTGATCATTTTGGCATACGGTTGGGCAGACCCTGTGTGACCTCAGTTGTGTAATCTTATTTGCATACACAGTCACTGGAAACTAGAAAATTTTCTAAAAATGCTGCCTCCAGAGTGAATCCTGTATTACCATGGAGTTCTTTGGAAGGGCTTAGTAGGAAAAAACAAGAACTTATGAAATGTAACCCTGGTATTTACAGGACAGGTGAGGATTTGCTTATGGATGCAAGTCACACTTATACTTGCCCTGAGACTTCAGCATAGACAGTGTTCCCACAAGGCTTTCACTGAGCTCCAATTTAACAGGGTTGTCTGTAGATGTGGACCTCTGATTTATTCACTTGAAGGTTGTATCACTGGACTCATCTATTTTAATAAATCTAAATACCATCTTTAATAAATCTGATTGATTTTCTGGGGGATGGTCATACTGTCCACTTTAAGCTATTTTTAGGCATCTGACTTAGGTGGTATGAATTGCCTCCTTTGTTGATAATATAAAGAATTTAGGCTCCTCGCTTTGGTCCTCTGGACTACATCTAAATTAGATGCTAAGAACAGCTTGAAGTGGATGATGCGAGTTCTCTCCTTCCCACCTTAAAGAAATTGCTTCCAGAAATATTCATTAGCTTTAAACACACGGTGTCACCTCACTTAAAAATATGGCTTCAGGGCAGTGAGATTACCAGGTAGAAGCTAAAACTCTTATCTTGCTATGCACATTTGGAAGTACAAGGGCACCTCAGATACGTTCATATCCTCTATGCGGCTTTCTTCGGGAAATCAGGAATGTGGCAAACACAATGACAAACAATCCCAGGATACTCAGGCCCACCACGATGGGAACTGCTTTGCTGTTTTTATCAGGAAGACATTCTTCTTCTGAAAGTAAAAGGAGATCAGAGAATTTGTTATAGCAGAACACTGTACTCCCAGACTATTCATCTATATTCCGGAAAAGTTAGCAAATACAAGCCAGAAGATCTCAAAACCTTGTTTTCTTTTTTTCTTTCTTTTTGCTGAGCTATGGCTAATACATTTTTATCTGTGATGAATCTTATCTCAAGAAAACAATGCTTGCCTCTTTCGAAATAGCTGCATGCTTCACTGGAGAATGACTCTGCTCTTTCACGTCCGCAGTCAGTATTTTACCATCAAGCTCAGTGCATGCACAGCAGGAGGCTTTCTTGCTGATAGCAGCTGTGGAGCATCACACTACAAAGTGCAAGTCTGAAAATAAAGAGCAATGCACACCCTGCGTAGACAAAAACTGCTCCTATGTGGCATCTAATTTCTTCTGCCCAGTAAAAAGGATCATTAGCACAGCCAGGCTGCTAGTTAAGGCAGCGTTTCCTAAGAAAAATCAAATTCTAATTGTTCTCTGCCTTTCATTTGGAATATTTGTGGATATTATGGATATTATGGCTAACTCAGCACATCAAGAGATTAGGAAGGCAGAAGCCTTCGACTTAGACCAGGGAGTTGCTTTAAGAGTACCATTGTAATTTTACTGTACATATGATGATGTCAGAAAAGGTTTTGGCACAAATAATATCTTTTAAGAACCATCCAAATATATATTCACTCTGAACATACCTCTTAGCTACGGAGGGGACAAATTCTGACCTCCTCAGCCAGTCCCTACCCAAATGAATATTCAAGTCATCCTATCATTAAATGGAAAATCATTACTTAAAAATGAACATCTAGATTGGGGTAAATTGGCAGCTTTCCTATGGAGACACTGCACCATCTGTGTCACTGACATCAATGGAACATTTACCCAAGTAACAATGGCAGGATCTGTCTCAAATTCACAATACAACAAGCGTAGCCTTGGGAGCAAAGACAAAGTCTGGGAATGATCACTAACCTCCTGTCCCAGAACAGAATCAGACCTGCATCTTCCATCTGGTCTGTAGGAACAGTCCTTCCTCGGGCTCCAGGGAAAGACAGACCTCTAGCATGATGCTTTGAGTGGCACCTGAGTAGCAAACTATTCTCTAAGTAGGGTAGCTTGATCAGCTAAACCCCACAGTATACCCCAGCTCAGTAGTGAATCTGGTTTATACCCAGGGCGATCCAACACCCTCTGTCCCTTCCATTCCCTGTCACTATTTCAAGGCAGATTTCAACAGTGCTCTAAGACAGAAGTGTCTGCTGTTATTACCTAATTCTGATGACGATGCTGGCACAGATTGTAGCTTAGCCTGGGCTTTTCCCCAGTGGGAATCTCTAGGCCAGTGGTGGGCACTTAGCCCAGGGAGCATCTAGAGCACATGACATCATGTCACAGCTGCAGAGCCTTCATGGGGCTTTCCCCAAAATCCAGCTCTCTTCTCTTCTGTTCCAGATTCTGATTTTATATGATGCAAATCCACAAAGCCAAAGGCATCAGCGTTCTGCTAGATGCTGCCTTTTAAAAGCTTTGTCTGGTTAATGCAATCTGCTGTTAAGGAAGTGAGCTGAAAAGTATTTGCATATGAGTATAGTAAAAGCCAGAGATGTTTGAATTGGCCATTTTGCTTTGACAAAACCTTGGGCTATGAACTCTAGGAATTGTTTCTGATATACTGAAGTGTAGTTCAGAAGACACTTTTACAGCTTTCCAGACTCAAACAGGCCAAGCTATTGATGTAACGCTACTGCGGTCTGTACAAAATTGTAAAGAACATGAAACCAAGGACAACTAGTGTTTTCTTTTTCTTCCCCTTTTAAAGATAAGCAAATCAGGAGCAACAGAAGTGAAACTTCCAGTCTTGAGAAACCCGAGGGGAGGAGGCTGATGATGTGTACAAAGCCATTCCTTCACTGCGGATTTTGTCTTTCAAAATCTTCATATGCAGCAGAGGTACATAACAGTTTCATAACTATTTCATGGCCGAGTTCTTGTATGGAAACACCCCGAGAGGAAGTCACAGAAATGTAAATTTGTGCCATTTGAAAGAGACCACAGGTTACCATCTAGTCACCTCTCTGGACAAGAAACCAGGATGACGACTTCTCATTTCCCTGTGGAAGAAACCCCAGGTGTGGGTGTGGGGAAGAAGTTGTGATGAGCCTGTGTACTTTCTCCCAGTGTGGGCAATCCAGGCACCGGGGGGTCGGTACTGGTTTGTCTCTATCTTTTACTACATGGTTGTCTCTTTGTGGCTGTACTCAAGACAAATTGCAGAGATGAGAATCACATTTAATTTTGAAGCCGGGAGCATGTCAATTGTGCTTATCCTCAGGAGCAAATTTCGTCATGTCTAGACACAGCAGCTCTGAAAGTGTCATCCTGCATTCACAAATATCCCTTATTAGTTGACAGTTTTGCTGCTGCAGCTGTGGGACATCATGAGTGTGAAGAGCCTTTCAAAATAGCTAAAATCTGACTGTATTGAGAACAGTGACCTTGAACTGAACTGTGCGTAGGGGTGTGGGCAATGCAATGGTGGTGAACACACCTCCGCTTGCTCTGGGAGAAAATGGGTGAAGAATAAAATTGTGGCTGTAGAGTTAAGCATTTTTAATGAGAAGGTGAAAAGAAGGTACTGAATACAGGAGGAAAAGATAATTTTCCATCTTCCATAGGTATTAGGACTGTGTTGAAAATGATTCAGAAAAGGGTGAGAATACTGCAGCGGGCAGATTACATTATTTGAGAACTACCACAGAGCTGTGATTGTGCTATAGGTGTAACAGGATCAGCACACGCGTATGGCTATAACCTGGCAGATTACATCTATCAGGCTGACATGAGAGTGCTGACATGTAGATCTGGGAAGGATAGAAAAGGTATCCTGCTACTTACCTTTGCCAAACTGGTTACTGACAATATCGAACGCCTGAAGCTGCATATGAACAAAGAGTAGCTGGAAGTCCTTCAGCAAGCTGAAGGTTTGCTTGCTGGCACACTTAAAGGAATTCCCCAGCTTTGTTGTAAACAGCTTCTCGCGTATGGTTGCATTGTAAAGCATACCTGGAGACCATAAAGAGAGAGAAATGAGAATCCACACTAGGTGTGTTGGAACCAACATCTTTCTGAGATAAAAAGGAGGATCCCTGGTGCTTTGGCAGAGCAGCGGTCACAGATGTGACAAAAGCATGGACATTTTCACCATAATGTGCCAGTTACATTTCTTCCATGTTTAAACAAGTGCTTTAAGTATCAGTGGCCAACTCAGCTGAGCCTGGGTCTCAAAAAGTGGCTAAAATTTCAGATGCTTCTTCATATCATAGTTGGACAACCTGAGTCTGCAAGAGGGGGTTGGGATTCTCACAGGAGCATACAACTATCTTAAGTCTCCAGCATGGCTATTTCCAGATGAAACAGATACCAACTCTAGCATGGGAATTTGACACACCTAGTCTGTATTTCTTTATGGATTAAATGGGTTTTTAAACATATTTCTGTGTCACAGAACTTTACAGAAAATATGGGTCAAGGGCAAAGTGTGAAAAGATATAGCCGGGGCATATCCTTTTTGCAGATCCTCCTTTGAAAGCAGATGTACCAGTTCAAGACAAAATCATCCATATCACCAACTCTGCATCGCTGTATCTCAACCACATCTGCCAGCACAACAGTGTGCAGCATACTCTTGGTCCTCTTCAGTCAAAATCAGTACACCAGTGGGTACTGATACAGTGAATTCAGTCATTTTTATCTTAGAAAAGATACGGGCTTCCTCACTTCGAAAATATTGCTGGTGGACTATGGAATGGCAACATCACAGGCAGGGATAGCAACGGCTCTTGCCAGCACCACTGTCGAGGCCTCAAAGCGTATCTGAGAATTTTAAAACTTGGGATTAGGCTGATTAGTTTGTATTGGCTGCAATTTGCACTTAGCAATGCACAGGAAAACTCTGGTGATTTAGACTGAGAACATCCTTAGGAGATGCATCCTCTGGATCAGCTTTTCCTTTACTTTAATTGCTGTAGATCAGAATAGGCTCCACTTGAGTTAATAAAAGTGCTCATCAGTGAGAAGACGAATAGGCACTGAGCTTTCAGAAAGCTTTCTGGAAGCTCAGTGCTATTAGGACACACCTGGTCGAGCTCCTGTTTTTGTTCTTTCAGGGACAGAAGTCTGTCCAAATACTTATGAGAAACAAACAGACAAGGGATGTAATAGTCATTAACCTGTCACAGATTTGATATATTGGCAAGAATTTGTGCAAAATTCATGTCAGAGAAAATCTGAAGTGATGGCTTAGAACTTTTCTCTCTGACCTAAGTGATGTTCTCTTAGCATTTCTTGAGACGTAGCATCTAGGGCAGCTCCTGACTGTTCGAATGATGAGAAGCAGAGCTGGATAAGAAAAATAAAATCCAATTGCCTGAGAAGAGCACAGGCAAGGTCTAAGATTTCAGGTTGGTTGGAAGGACCTCCGCCTGGGTCCAGTTCTATTTTTGCCAAACCAAAATGTCAGACACACCTTCTCTCTGTGTTGGTGTATTTGAAATCTGGATCCAGCTCTGCATTTCTGTGATCCAGATACTATGTTCATTTAGTTTGCTCATTAGATTGCAAAGACACATGCAACTGAACTGGAGTCACAGCGTTCTTGTGTGTTTGCAGATAAAAACTTTGAGGACTGCTTTGTACCTTAAATTTAGGTATGAAGTAATCTCTGTTCTGAAAGAGGTGGGGAAGGGAAGGTTTTTGAGGACAAAAAGAAAATTGAAAAATTCTGATGAAACTGCAGCCCGGCCCCTTCTCCTCCATTTGCATGCCGTAAGATTTAGGTGAATGACATATTGAAAGCCTGATAAAACACAAAATATGTGAAATCCAGTGTATTAAGGATATGAAAGCCTATTCCACACCCAGAGCAGTTTGATATGAAATTAAAACAGTGTCAAATCACTGACCTTCAGAAGATAACTGTAATCTGATCTCAATTTTACTGACAGAGTAGGTTGGAGCTTTTTAAAAAAAAAAAAAAAAAAAAAATCTTAATTCACAATAGGTCGTCATATTTGTGAAAAAAAAAATACAGTTCGTCACAGCAAAACAGTCACAATTTCCCAAAGAAACACATTTTAAAGCATCACCTTCAAGACCCAAGAACCACCTTGACTGGACGTATCACTTTTCCTTTTCCAAATCACCCCATCTAATAGCTGAGAAACCAGTGTCATGCGGCTGTCCCAGCTACAGCACCAGTTCTGCTCAGCTCAGTGAAGTCGGACTGTGCAGGTGTGATTTCACACACACTGCTCAAGCTAGACATTTGTGTGATACTTGTGGAAACTAAAAGTAGGAAGGAGTTAGGCAAATCGTATACACTGCACAAGTGAACAGGCATGTGATAAGGCCATTTTATTTTTATTCACCGGTTCTGCGTTCATTGAGAGTCCCTGCAGTGCTCTCAGGAGTAATCCTGCACCAAGTTCATCCATGCTGAGCTGCGGTCTGGCTGCTTGCAGGACCTAAGCCAACACCTTTAGAAGTACTCAGGACTCTGCAATGCACTTTATGCATAGATGCCCTTTGTGTGAGCAAACTGCAGAAAGGAGCCGTGCTTCCACGCTCATCGTTGTTTTGAACTGGGAGAGGTCAGCAACATGCTGAGAGCCGGCAGCTCATCTCATGCTAGGACCACTTATTCCCCATTTTATCTGCCAACAGTAGTTACTACAATGAGGAAACAGCATGTTGTTGGTTGTGGATGTGTCTGCGTAGGGGAGAAATCACTGTTTTTTCCACCCTGCTGACGCTGTCGGTGCTGGCTGGCTTTGTTTCGTATGTCTACAGCCTGCCGACATGGAAAGCACCTGGTACCGCAGCACCGAGCGAAATTTCCAGCCGAGCGTCCTGCCTGTCTGTGCCCTAAAACCCTGCTGCGACCAGACCGCTGTCCTCCCCTAGACAGTCACACAGTGAGAGCCAGCCCTGGGAGCTTTTCCCTGGTGGCAGCGTTGGAAGGTAAGGTGAGTCTTTACGTAGCAGCCCACTATTAATTTTAATTCCAACTGTGAGTGCACAGGGACTGGTGAGTGCAGCTGGTGGATAAATGGCAGCAGACGGGAATGTCTCCTGTGCACCCAGGTTTAACGTTCTGCAGTTTAAAAGCTGGTAGGATGGATTGGGAAAGTTTAAGAAAGAAATACACCAGAAAAGAGGTTCTCAGCATTATTCCTACCTAAAGACATAAATAGGTCAAATATTGCCATTTTTTGGCAGCAGCGCTGTGTTCTGTTTGGCTGCAGTTAATAACTTTGCTCGGGGAAGACACCTGCTCCCACTTCGTGCCTTGTGGGTTGGTTACAAAACTTCCTTTTTTCAAGTTCTTTGCAAAAGGCAGCTGGCAGCGGTGAGTGCTGAGCCGGCCGCTCACCTCCTGCTACCCCGCACCGGCACTGCAGCCCCGGGGCCTCATCCAGCTCCTCTGTCACCGGTGAATATCAGAAGTGCCATCGCTGGACCACTCCTGGTTCAAAGCAGTTAGAGAGGCTGTGGGGCCAAATACATAAAAAACAGCAACTCGAATTGCAAAGAAGTCCAAGCCAAGCCCTGCTGTGCTCTTGAGGCTTATCTTTAAGAGAAGGGCGTATTGTCTAATGCTGTGCCAGTAACCACCTTTTTCAGGGCAAGACAGGTCAAGTACCTCCTAAAGGTTCATATTACTCTCCTTAGCACTGCTGCAAGTTGGGGCTTTCATGGGTACTTGAATCACCAGACTTTTTCCAAGCATCCTTGTAACACAGAAATGCACCCCTTGTTGCAGGAAGCGTACGTTGAAAGCAAACACTCATCGGCTGAACTGAACCTTTGCTTTAAAATGCCTCCTTGATTTTTTAATTCACTTTTTTCTCTGTAACTTTCAGAAAACTTTCTACCATAAACTAAGATCAAGATGATTATTAGTTGAAATCTTTCCTCTGCTCGAGCATTAATGACTCTGGTGGGTATAATTTGCTCTCACTTGGACTTTCTGTAGAAATGTATCGAATTTCCGAGGACCTGCTGGCCTCCAGTTGAACTGAAGATGGTGACTGATTACCATTTGTATTTTTCTTAGTTGTCACTAATTTGAGCTTAGAACCAGGCTGCAACATTGATGTTTTGGTTTGATTAACTGAAGGACACGGATCAGCAGTGATGGCCAGGTGCAGCTCTGAGCTGCTATGGATGTTCCAGGACATGGCTTTAACGCACGTTACACTCAGAGTCTGGTGGGATCCAACCTCCTGCCCATTAATGACTTTACACACAGTACTAAATTCTGTCTTTAGCCCTGCTGGATTCACCATCCAGCCGTTTAAGCTTCCACAGAAATGTTACCACGTGCTGCCTCCTAAAATGTGCAAACAATGTAAATGTTTGGGGAAGCAAGAAGATGGCTGCACTCGGCCATTTTCTCCCGTGGCTGTAATGTCAGCAGCACTCTTCGTAGCTAATGTTAAAACCTCATCCACTTACGATACGGTCCCAGCATGGAACAGGGTATCAACAAATACCATGTCAAAAAACTCCTCCTTTTGCCACTACGTAAGCATGGGCCTCTCTCTTGACCAAGTTTCTGTATATTTATAAGTCTCCAGGGTCTAGTGCATTTTAAGGGCACTTATCTACAGCTTGGTGGTAGTTCAGTTGTTTGGAATTTTCCACTCAGAAATTAGATAAAATTGGGCCCCTTCAGCTGTGGATGGGCCGGGGGTCCTTGAAACTGTGCAGGCTGCTCTTTGGATTTACCAACCACAGCTGGCTTTTGGCTGGACAGTGGTGATATTTGGCATTTATGGAAAACAAATGACTAACCTCACCTGCGTGCAGGTGGCCCCTGTGACACCATTTCGTAAGAGCAACTGGAGAGCGTGAGTCAGAGCACCCGGCACACACCCCTTGTTCCTGCACAGGGACTCCAGTCCCAAACCCATTCCCTCTGTCCCATTCCAACACGAACACCCGACCTGGCCTTTCCTCCCACTAGATTTTTACCTATGTAAAAATGAGATGCAGATTTTGCTTGAGGCTATTTCTAGACTTTGTGTTGCTAGACAGGTAGCTTTAACACTTCTCTAGCACTTTCTAGCAAAGGATGGCAAGGCACTGTGCTTACCCTTCGTCACACATATGAACCGTCCCAAATTGAAAGTTCAGATAGACAAGACCTGATTTAACATTGAAGTTAGCCCTGCTCTGAGCAGGGGGTTGGACCAGGTGGCCTCCAGAGATCTTTTCCAACCTGAATTAATCTGTATTTCTATGATTCTAGCCTCTTGGGAAGGACAGGAGTAATAGTGCCTTACATACAGGCGGAAAACTAGCATAGAGATGAAATGCTTCTTCCCGCAGCATGAGCTGGATCAAATGCAGCCAAAGTTCCAGTTCCCCAATCCTAAGCACTCCTTGTCTATAAATGCAACAGTTACCTTTACAAAGGTCAAGTTTATAAACCCTCCACTGAAAGTTATGTTCAGCTCAGACTGCACCGTCCCACAGCTGCCAGAGGTCTGCGTCGCGTTGGGGTTGACAGCCATGTACTCCATCCGCTTCTGTGGAGAGAAGAGACATTGCAGGTCTGCTGAGGAGGAGGAGGGGGGAAACTTAATAAGAAACACACAGAGATTTATAGCTGGTGGTTTGGGGTTTGTTCTCCAGACAGGCTCTGTATGGCTGAATGAACAGCCCTGGTGAATGAACAGGCGCTGGCAGCCTAATTGCTGTCTGCCAGGGTCACTCGCCATGCGTAAACCAGCACTAACACTTGTCTGACATGTCACCGAGCTGTTCCAGCATGTTAAGCTGGCCGAAGGTAATAGTTTTCTGCTCATTCGGTGAACTGATATGATTCAGAGCAGGGTCAGATGAGCACCAGTGGTAATTTAAAATGGGGAAGCAGTAGGAACTCGTCCATGAAGGCAGAGGAACAATCAAGACAGAGGCAGGCAGGGGTTAGATTAGCTTTGACATGTGTTGCTCCTTGTATCGCCCTGGCCACCTCTTTATGTACTGAATAGTTCATCTCTAGCGTCCACCAACCCACGCTGTAGTCTGAAAGGAGAGCTCTGCAGCCCTGCATACAGTCTGGCTCCTTCAGTCGCATCTTAAACACACCTTACGTCTGTACTGAACGTCTTGCTGTGGGCTGGTGAGGTTGGGAATCGTGCTCCCTGCCTGGCTTCTGCCAGGATGAGGGATGAATATTACATTTACCAACGTTAGATACCCATCCTATCTTAGAAATATTCAGACCCCAAACAAGAATAATTGGATTTTTAGCGGGAATGGCTCGAGGTGTGTGAACTCCAGAGCCTGAGGATGTAACCCCACATACCGTAATAATGGAGGCTACAAAACCGTAAGTCTGAGGGACGTAATCACCATTTCGGGTTTTATGACATCTTTTGCTGAATCATTCACAGTGGAACGCTGCTAGGAGAGGGTACCAGCTCCCCAGGACCCCTGCTCTGATCCAGCCTGGCAGTTCCTAAAATCTCCACGTGTCAGCATCAAGACAACCCACCTCTGAATCCAGGTCTGTGAACTGACAATTTCTCGCTTTCATTGCAACTCACAATGTCAAGTCCTTTACTGAAGTCAATTCCAATTTTAACTAGTTTCCCATTATGGGAAACACACATAACGCTGAAGGCTGACCTGCCCCCCAGTGTTGCTACCACACATACATCACTGAGATAAGAAAGCACCCGTACATCCCACTGACATCATCACAGAAGCCAAAGTACAGCAGCTGAGATGCTGTGGCACAGCAAAGGCCTCAGGCTGGTAGCAAACAACTTATTTTTATCATACAAGCTAATTTCTGAAAACTGCTTTGAAAGAAGAATAAATTCCAGCTAATGAAGAAACAGTCGTTACAGCACTCAGCCTTGTAGTGCTTCCACCTCACCTTCTGTGTATTTTGAACCATCAGTTGCAGGCCCATGACCGCTTTGATGCAGGTCCTGTTCCCACTGGAAACTGTGTATGTGCCAGTGGGGATGGGAGAAGGCCGTGGTGCAAGAGTGGGTCTCACTGTCACCGTAGTAGATGGGATGGTTGTTTGAGTCCCTGGAGGAATGGTTGTTGCGTTGGTCATAGCTGTGGCTGTTGGACTTTTAGGCGCTGTTGTTTGATTTCCTGACCCTGTGATGGGCTTTACAGTTTGCATGGTGATGGCTGGAGTAGTTACGGCAGGCGGCGGGCTTTCTTTGTTTTTTTTTTTTTGTTCCTGCCACTGTCATTTCTGTGCTTACATGTGTTGTGGCTTGCTTGATTGAGGACATAGGATGCTGGGTTGTGTTCTTCACTGCAGGTGTGACTGTTTCCATTGCCTGGGTTGTAGCATGACCCGCTGCAGTTGTGTTGTCTGCTGCAGTTGCGTTGTCTGATGCGGTTGCGTTGTCTGATGCGGTTGCGTTGTCTGATGCGGTTGCGTTGTCTGATGCGGTTGTGGATACCCCCGTGGGAGATGTCTGGCCAGTCACTTGCATGGTGGTTGCTCCTGCCTGGGCTGTTGTGTGATGTCCTGGTGCTGTTGTTACCTGATGCTGCTCTGTCCTCTGCACTGTTGTTGTATAGCTTATGGGTGTTTTAGGAGAGCCTGTGCTGATAAAATGAGCTGTGGTGCCTTGATGGGATGAAGAATGACAATGGGAAAGTGACTGAGCAGAAGTAGCCGTATGGTGGACGGATGTGGTTTCTGGAGACAGTATGGTCCCCAGGGCCACTTTGGCAAAGCAGGAGGAAAATGCTGCAGAGAAACCAACAAGTCATTAGTGTAGAAACCTTTATGTTTAACATTTCTGTTGACACCCACAACATAATTACTACCCATCGCAGTGGAAGTGCATGGACTCCCGGCTGCCCACACACTGCTTTTACTGCTGAAGGAGCCAGAGGATGACCGAGGTGTGAGCAGACCTTGCACAATCCCCAGACAGCACAAGAATTCCCTAACAGGCAGTAGTACAGCAAGATTTGCTTGAAGAAAGCTACCAAGATCTAAGGAAGGTGCAGTGGAAGCCTGGGTGTAACAGGTGAAGGGGTGGCTGGTTACTTACCAACAAAGCATGGGGAAAAGGAACATTTTGTGTGTGTGAAGGAAGTGAGGCAGCATAATGGTCATAACGTGATTCGGAATAGTCTGGGAAACCGGTCTGGGAGGCAGGGAAATTCCAGATATTTATTTATGGCGATGTTGTAGCCACACCAGCTTGCACCCTCAAGTTCTTCCTCTTCGGAGGTACCCAAAGGGATGCTTCAAACAAGGAAAGACAAGCCCTCTTGGTGATGCTCTTTCAGCAGTGAGAAACAACTGTCAGAGTACAGCATCCAGGGGCTTCTTGGACTAAATTTTAAAATAGTTCAGCACCAAAATTATGCTTCCATCTTATAACATTTACAGAAACATGTCCTTTGCAGAACTGAAAAGAAAATCTCTGGCTCCTAAATGTAAACAATGAAATTAAGAAAATTGTAAATAATGAAGTGAAGAAAAGGTGGAAAAAGTACATTGTAGTATAGATGAAAGTCACAACTCTTCTGCTTGATTCTTTGATTGTGAGTATGGAACAAGACGCCGTAAAGACAAGGTGTCAAGTGAATATAAATCATGAATCACTGACATATATGCGTTCCTGGATGTGCAGAAATCTTCCGGTGTTTTACAGCGTAAATTAGCTGGAGGACAGAGATGAATTCTTCAGTTTGGAGACTGAAGGGACCCAGAAGTCCAAGACAGCTCATATTCCTAGCAGTACAGCTCCACAGAGGATGCCACAATGCTTTGTCTGAGAAGTTTGTTGTAAGCTAGTTGTTGCAAAGAAATTTCTCATTAATTGGTGTCAAAGGTTTATGGCAGGCAGGTTGCCGAGACTCGGATTTTAGGACTGATTAAGGCCAGAGGCACATTCAGAGTGGAAATGGCTGAAATCTTCCTTTCATCGATTTATTCTCACTCAGCATGAACAGAGCTCTGCAACAGTAGCTGAATTCACAAAATCTCACCATTTTAGAATACATATAAACCAAATAAGAATAATGAAAGCTATTGGCTTCTGAATCAAATTCAAGATCAAAACCAAAGAAAGGAGGACAGATGTGTAGATCTGAAGCCACATCACAACCTTCCCTTAAACATGGCTATGCTGGAGAAGAGCAGAAGTGTAGGTGTACACTGCATATTCCTAAAATTGCCTGGGTTTCACCTCTGTGCTGTACAGAATATACCTGGCTGCCAGTGTAGCTGTTACCATCAAAGAAGTGCAACTTGATACAGTTGAAAAGCCACAAAAATGACAGGACAGATCGCTCTCGTTGTGAATTTTATCAGAAGGAACCTAAAAATGCCATAATTAGTATGATACTTCAGTTCATTTTCTCACTTTCCCCTAGACTTTACCACACCTGCTGGCAGAGCTGAAAAGCAGATAACTTCCCTCCTTCTCTGGGTGCCAGTGGAAAATCAGAGCAGCTGCCACACTCAGATGTAGCTACATATAGCTGGTGTATATCGGCACAATAAAATCAAAAAAGAAGTTGCAATTTTCACTCTTTTTTCCCCTATAAGACTGCAAAACAACCCATATTTAAATTTACACAAGTCTTAAATAGTCAGTACTTCTTAGTTTTTAGTTAACAGATTGGTTTTGATTACTGACCAGATATCACTTATCTTACAGACATGGAGAGAAATGTTATTTGACTGATATTTGGATGCCACCCATAGCTTTTAAATGCATTTTCCCCAAAAGGTCATTTCAGCCTTAACTGGTTTTCATTAGAGATACATCCAGCCTGACTGGGTCACTGAGGGGTAAAGTCAGGAATGTCTTTGGGGTGGCCCGCGGCTCGTGCTCCCTGGTGACCTGCCAGACTTCTCCTCCAGCCTCCCACGCAATCCCCAGCATTATGTAGCTTCTGACGGGGCATGGCCACGCTGCTAAACCTGTTGGCTCGGGTCGTCATCTCGAGAGACATTTGGCCATGGGCTCCCAGGGATGGGTGAGGACGGCTCTCTGGTTGCACCTCATGGTCTCAGCTCTTCCTGGGTGGCTGTTGGAGGTGGTTGGGTGGCTTTGCTGTGTGAGGGGGCAGTGGGCCCACAGGGTGCCTGACCGCCCTCCAACTAAGGCCTGGAAGGCTTCACCACGACTCGCTCGGCGTTGCAGCGTTGCCTCTCGGGGAGCCTGGCACGGCTTGGCAAAGGAACCTGCACAGCTGCCCCCATCGCAGTCCTTCTCATGGCTCTGCCGGCAACGAGGAATTGCAGCTCTGCGTCCCCCTCCCCTGTTAGTCTCCTTTTTTTTCTATGAAGCCAGCTCAAAACTTCATGCGACCAACATTTTGCTGGAGGTTTGCAAGCTCCCTGGGCTGTATCTTTCTGAGCAAGCAGCTGCAACCCCCTCACCTCACCCCGGCGTCAAAGTTGTGCGTTACGAGTGCCAAGGGCTGCGTTTCTGCCCAGCAAGCCTCCATGCATGCAGCACTGCAGAACAAAGCCCAGAAAAAGATCAGGGCAGCTCTCAGAAATTGGCTAACCCCAGTCTGGGCCCTGGAGCCCCCATTTTCATGCTTTGGTGACAAGTTTCAGTCGATACCAGCAAAGGAGTGTCACTGCTCTGCTCCCAGGCACTATGGTGGGAAGCGGAGTGCTCGGTGCCATGGTCTGGCAGTGACATTTCTCAGCCTGCCGGCTTGTAAGGGAGTGGGTGAACAAAAAGCACTTGCCGGGGATTTTTTCCCCATCTCATCTAACCACACGCTCATGCTGCTCAGCCGCCCAGCAGGTCTGTTCCGCTTTGTGCTGCCCAGAAGAAATGCCTGTGTTTAGCTGACTGGTTTTGTAATAGTTGTGGACACAAAAACCTGACACGGCTCCTACAGTCACTTCAAACACTCTCACTGGCCCCGGCTGCTTTGGTTTGTGTCCTTGAGGAACTGGAAAAGCACCACGATTTCCTGAGAGGTTTCCGTACTGTCATAGTTTACCTCCAACACAGGAGCAGTTTCTTAAACCTCCAACCCATCAGACCTTTATCCCTTAAACTGTAATTGTGTTTAATTCCCTGTCTGCACAGAAAGGCTTGACCTTGTGGCGTTAATAAAACATGGCATCAAATTATGAAAGGAGTGATCAAAAATGGATAAAGAGCTGAGGAAACAAGTTCTTCCTGATGGAAAACTTCCTTGCTGTCCACTGAGTTATCGGTGCTACCTCTCTCACTCAGAGCTTGCTCTCCCTTTGCAGTACACATTCTGGGGCTACTTCAGCAGACTCCAGCTATTGCACGGGTGTGGGAAAGCAGAGTGGATACGGTAGGAGCTGCTTGTTGTTGAGCCCCCGGGCTGCTTCCATGCTCATAGGGCTGGGAGTGGGACGAGGGTTGTTACTTGTGCGATCTCTGCATGCCAATGGCAAAACACACCGCAGAAATCCCGCGCCCCAGCAGGGAGCTCACACCTTTAGCCATTACACAGAATAAATCACGCTCTGTCCTTTTTCACACGACAGATTTTGTACTGCTGCAGGTGTTGAGGGATGACTTGCTGTGCTGGGACATGTTCTTGACCAGGCTGTCTCCCCAGATTTTCAGAGCAGCATTAAGGATCAAATGGTGACTTTGATGTGGTTTGTCATTGAGATAAGCCCCAACCTGCCTCCTCCAAGCCCCCGCCTCACTCCTGCTTTCCTGATTGTGCTCTGTGTCTTGCAGTGCAGACAAATGAATGGCTCGAGCAACGCTCCCTTAGTTTTTCTTCTACTTGTCTCACTCAAGACCTTCAGTCACTTCTGCCAGTCTGGGAATTATTTTTAATTAAGGAAAGCAAGCCCAAAAAAGCCTGCTTCCAGTACTATTTCGAGCTGACTCCATCACACAGTCAGAGTTTATGTCACCACAAAGTGCAAGGGAAAATATACAGGAAAACATCAGACTAAGCCTACTCCAGCTGCAACTTGGAGACTGAAGGGACCCAGAAGTCCAAGACAGCTCATATTCCTAGCAGTACAGCTCCACAGAGGATGCCACAACACGTTGTCTGAGAAGCTTATTGTAAGCTAGTTGTTGCAAAGAAATTTCTCATTAATTGGTGTCAAAGGCTTGTGGTTATAGTTATAGTTATTTCTTAGCAGTAAGACTTTATTAAAAGCACCTTGAGGGCTAGCAACAAAACTATTTAAAGTTTTCAGTCTTTTAGGGGCTGACCTGACTGTAAAGAAACACAACTAGCATAGTCTATCTCATTTTTCTGATAGAAACGATGGGGGATGTTACTCACCGCAGGTGAAGGTTAGGAAGACGAAGTACCATGCACTCCTCCCCATGGCCAGCACAGCTGCAGGTCCGAGGGGTGCTGCTTCTCACCGCAGAGTGGGTGGAAAGGGACTCAAGGTTTCCTGGGGACTGAAAAGTTTCACTTGATGCAGGGAGTGCTCAGTCACATGGCTGGAAAGGAGGTGGAGAGAGAGGGGGAGACCGATGCTTCTCGTCTGTAAACTACTGCGGAAGGAAATAAAAGATGATTAGGAAAGAAAGTGAAAACAGAAAGGGCTGTGGGGCTAACTGAGGGGGAGGACGGGCTCTCGGTCTGCAGCTGAGACCTCGGGCTCTGCTAGACCAGGTGAATTTTCATGCTCCTCTCTCCAGTTTTGATAACCTGGTGCAGACAGCAGCTGTACCCCAGGGGAGGGTTACAACCTGTAAATCAGTACTTTCCCTGTGTGCTCTATCGAAGTGCTGGCTCTTTAAAAGAGAAGAAAGGCCAAACTCTTTCTTTTATGCTAAGGCACAGAAAGGCGAGGTATGATGTTAAGCCATCTCCGCAGAGCACCTGCTCGAAGTAGACAGAGCTGAGCAAAGCCCCACGCAGGCTCTGGTCCCAGCTGGGGACTGCCGGCAGCCTTTGCTGGCTGGTTCAGTCCTGCTCCAAGGACCGACCCTGTGGGAGGTGGATCAGCCGGTGTGGCTCTCCATTCGCGTTGCATCCAAACACACTCCTCGGCAAAGAGCAATGCCCCAGCTCTGTCCCGTGAAGCGCCTCCTGCAAACCACGCCAAGCTGGGAGCGGAGCTGCGCAGGCAGATCCCGGCGTGTGGAGCTCCACGCCAGAGATCTGCAAGAGGACATCGTCACACCTGCTCCCGCGTGCGGCTGGGCTTCCAGCCTTGGGGCCAGCTTGGGGAGGGGGAAACAAAGCAAGCCCCACACGCGGGATCTGGTGTGGTCCTACTTCTTCCTTTTCTCATACCAATATTGCACTGCAGTAACACGTTAAGGCCAAGGACTTAAAAACTCAAGCAAGGTGAAGTTTGCCCCCAGAAATCTGGATACCAGCTGAAATTAGTTCCAATTTGTTTTGGTTTCTCCATCTGCATTGTGTTTCTACGTCCTCACTTTTACATCCGTGCCCTTCTACATGATCCACAACATGCATTTGGGTCGATTAGCACTCCCTAACAAACCACTGGTAGCCAAAGATTATGCAGATTTCTCAGGGGTAACTGTAATGCAGTTATCCTACAACTTCCTTGCCTTGTTGCTGCAGCATTAGCGTATGCAACTGAACTGTCTGTGTGAGCCTCTGTGCTTTCCTGAGTCCCAGGGATTCAGGAACACAACTAAGGGAGATGTGTGAAGGAAAACAACCACTGTGTCATTTGTGACACGTGTGTTGGACAAATACAGTTATATTGGACAGATGTGTGGATTTTTTCCAGCTGTGATGACGTGCCTTTACTGATACTCATTTATTTTGAATAGAAAGAAAGCTCATTTGACTTGTTACTTCATATAGAGACATCAAGCACAATGTTTTGTACTAGTTATAATTTTTATAAATTTCAAACAAAGTGTGGTTCTACACAGGTCAGAATGGCCTAATTACAGGAAGTTCATTTGCACACTTTTTTCTTGTAATAAATTCATACATTCTGTTTTGACTGGAAAAAAAGGACAGGTAATTCTGTGCGCTTTCCCTGTCTGATTATCTCTCATCAGTCACGATATACAAATACATCATTATCAACACCATGGAAAATATGTAAGAAAAACAAACTGTACCAATTCTCAGCTGGGGGGTGGAAACATTAGCAGCTATTTCAGCTCCAGCTGCAAGAAGAAATACACAATTTGGCTCCTTCTTCTTATTCTTATATATTTCTAATCATATATATATTTTAAGTCAGGCTTCGAGTCGTTTTGGAAAGGAAGCGCATGGCCTTTCTCATACCCAATCCTGTTTGAAATCTCAAGAGTCGAAGAAAATTATGGATAATAAAATGGCTTTTCATCACACACACAACCAGGATATGAAACACACGCACAGCTTTGCTGTCACTGGCAAGAAAAGCCAATGTTCAGACATGGTTTGGCCGCAGCCGTATATCATCAAGACAACAACCGCTGGTCTGATTCTCCACCCCGTGGGGTCAGATGCGGTGAAGGAGAGGATCAGGCCTGATTACATTTTAGCCTGGTTTACTAGGAGAAAGACTTGCATATCATGGCAACCACCTGTCTACCTGTTTGTCATTACCGCCAGTAAGGAAGGAGTCTGTGACCCAGCTACACCCGGCTGAGCGGAGGGCAGAGGTCTGAGGACGCGAAGTTTCGGCGGGTTTCACAGAAGCTGGCAGCAGAGCAAAGGGAGGAGACCCAAGTCAACGCCTCAGCCCTGAGGGCAGGTCTCACCAGTCCGGACCCGGAGAGGACAGCCACGCAGCTGGTCAAGCAGCAAGGGCACAATGCTCAACCACGAGGGCTGCTACGGCATAGACCTACCTTGGACTTTGTCTCTTCTACAACTGAAACTTAGTGGCAACCACTACTTTTAAATGACTTTCTGGTCACTGTATCATCTCCAAACAACACTGAAATTAAATCCATATTTGAAAACTGTGACTATTAGGTCCATCTACCCGAAAATGATGATGTCAAAGACCTACATACAGAATAAGTATGTCTTAACATACACATTAGTCTTGCTGGACATTACCAAATCATATTCTAGACTGTACGTGGAGAGTCATTCCCTTAATTGTCACCTTGCTTCACAGAAATACACTAATTATAAGACTATCCTGTCTACTATTAAAAAAAAAAAGTCATCAAACCCCATTTTGTCTCGTCAGCAAAGCCAGAAGGTTACTTCTTGCTGGCTGCTCTCAGACTAGTCAGCTGATCTGTCACTGAACTTCATCCTTTACAAAAGCAAACCCAGGAGTGTGGCACTGTCTCACTGGCGTCTGCACCGCAGGCACCAGCCAGGCAAAGCTTTGGCCCCGGTTACACCCCAGCAGCAGCTGCAATGGTTGCAGCACGGTCTGAGTTTGGAATGCGGAGACGGAAAGAGGCAGCCGCCTTCGGCTCGCCAGGACTGCGGGAAGGTTAAAGACATAATTAATGGTTGTGGGCTCCCTGCTCAGGTTCAGTAGCAGAAAGATGTGATACAATCAGCTCCCAAAGACCACTGAGGCCAGAGTGCTGTGCCACTGCTGCACACAGCCATGGGCCAGCAAGCTACTTGTCATCCTCAGGACATTCATGGTGCAGGAGTGACTCAAACTTTGGTCCAACAGGATAAAACACGAGATTTTGTGGAGAAAAAAAAAAAAAAAAAAAAAAAGATGGTGAGCCGGGAGAGAGGAGACACTTCTGCAGCAATCCTCTTCCCTGCTGCACCTCTAGACTGCCCCACAGGATGCCACCACTGACACCCATGGAGGGCACAGCAGGATGGGTGGGGATGAATGCCTTCCTCTCCCCTGGAGGGTCCCCAATTTTTGCATGCATGTAAAATTTAGCATCAGAATTCAACACATGGGAAATCCAACAGCTCCCATTTTCCAGGAAGATATCGAGGCAGCAGGGGATACAGGACTAGCACACTGTCACCCTGCACACAGCAGAGGTAGGAAATGGACTGACAATACCTGATTTTCCATCTTCAGTTCAAACAGACGCTTCCCACTGCCATTTCACCGTCAGAACGAGACTCCTTCAGAGAAACTCCAAAGTGCAGGTTTGCATCTTTCTGTCTGTCAGCAACGTCACAAATCCTAGTTTTGGCAGTTTCATACACCCAGGGTAACCCTTCCCCACCTCTCTCTCACACACACACACAAAAGCTTACTATATTATATAATGTGCAATCAAAGCTCCCTACCCCTTTCCTCTCCTATGCTTAGGGCAGGGGTAGGCAGAAGCACTGTTATGAGGCCGTGCAAAAATCACTGAAAGTAATACAGAAACCAAAATGAACTCATTTTAGGGAGAGGATAAAATAATTGCACTACAAGAAAATGTCACTGCATGTTTCCTTGGGAGACTGAAGGTAATCAGTTCTTCCCTCAGGATGCTCCTAACTACAGTAGACTAACAGGATTCATGTTCCTGAGAGCCTGCGTGTCATTCTTCAGGTACATGACCAGCACAAAACAGACATGCTCTTATCTCTGTGGGACAAAATTAGCTTCCAAAAAGGTACTGAACTCCCAGGTCCTCTAGTCATAAACAGAAAACACCAGAAATCACAGAGTTTAGCTATTGAGGGTTAGAAGAACCATAGGAATTCACCACCACAGTGCAACTCATATTTAACCAATAAGCCTTCATAGGCAAAAAAAAAAATCTGAATAAGCCTTTACCTACTCCAAGACTTTTTCTCTAATGGGACTATCTACCTGCTTCACAGCTCTCCTGACTCACACACTAAGATATTTGCAACCCCAGCCTCCACTGAGACAGGAAGAAAAACATTCGGGTCCCTGCAAAGACAATAGCAGAAATGATACAAACTCCTACTATTTAGCTCGGAGGTTCAGTTATTCAAGAGTGGGTTTTGGTTTTGCTTCATCTCCATTTTTAGTGCTTTTGTCCCCTTTATTATTTACATAGAGCACCACTAGTCTCAGGGTTAAACAAAAAATCCCTAATAGTGAAAGCCAATCACTCACTCTTGAGCTTCTAGGGTCATTTTTACCAGGCTGACCTTTGCCTGTTTGCAACCCTTAGTCAAGACCTATCTTTACTAAAGTACTAGCAGCTTTTATGGGACCTAAGATCCCATTACCATTAAGATGCCTTAACAGCTGCTCTAAATGAGCTAATGGCTTGTAGAGGAATAATAACATCTGTAATCACTTTATATCATACATTATTTATGTGGCAGAGATTTGGTACAGTCCTTTAATCAAATATCCTGGAAAGAAGTATTTAACAACAACACTTTATCCACTTGTTGGAGCATCTAATGCTCACTGCCTATTTGCAACGCTTAAATATATTCCAAATGGGGGATGAAATGTATCTAATCCATAGCCCAGCACACAAAGAAAGCATGCAGTCTACTCAAACATATGACATTAAATGGCATTCAATTGAATTCTCGGCACCAAATGCAAAGGATTGTGATCCAGCAACCACAGACTGCAGAGGGGGCAGAGGAATGACTTATATTGTAAAAAGAGTTCAAAATGTGCTTTGTCACAGTAGCTGTCAGACATCTTTTCTTCCCTGCTAAGCCCTGCACCTCCATCTCACAGCGAGGAGCTGCCATCTGCATCATCCCAACAGAACGCTGTATGCAGCGGGTCGGTCACCGCGCCATTGCAAAAGGAGTCACGTCATTGCTGTGCGAAGGCTCTCTGACAGTCCAAGTCAGAAGTTTCTTTTCCACAGCCACCCTACAATGGGATGGTTTTGGTGTTGACCATCAGCAAAAAGGGCACATTTGTGATGTTTTAGCTGGAGTTAAGGAGGACGGGGAAGGCACAGCCAGAGGCAAGCAAATGGAAAAACCTCCAGGCAACCCCACAGTAGAGCAAGAACTGGTAACCGTGTCTGTGTCCCTCTGCAGTAACTCGGTGTTCAAGCAAAGTTGCTGAAATGTGCGTGCATAGTAACTCTTCAGCTCTGCTGTTGACCTAATTTAGGCCACATCTCCTGAAACAGTTTGATAAACAATGCGAGAAGCATTTTTCTCCTCTAATACTGAAGGTGGGTTTTGATGATTTCTGGATGTTTAATGCTCCTTTCAAGTTTGTTTTTCCCAGGTCGACGAGTGGACAGCACAGTTCTCATCTGTTCATGCTGATAAAGTTTTAGTGAATTATGAACCTCAGAGCTTGTGAGAAAGGCAACTTCAATCCAGCGTCCACCCAAAATAAACAGAGAGATGGATGGGGTCCTGAGTAAGGCTGGTCCTGCTGCTCAGCTGCCAGCCCGCTGTTCTGCTGGGAAGCTTTTGGCCACCTCGCTCTCCTTGGTGTCTGACTCTACCGAAGCTGTGCTGCAGGAATCGTTGTACATGTCTGAAAAGGAGCACAGGGGCATTGTCACTACAACACATCTACAGGATTTCCCCTCTACAGTGTTGAGGTTCATTGTTAAAAGCCTGATATAAAATAGAAAATAAATAATCACAATTCTACTGCTCTAATTCCTTCACTAAAGGCAAGGGAGGCTCTTTTGGCATGTAACTAACTGTAATGTATGTGTGGCTTTTTCTTTTGAAGCATTAGACATGCCAGAGATATGAGAGCCATAGTTAGGCACTGAGGGTGAAGGCAGAACTGACCTGCTGTGAAAGTGAAGAAGCAGCAGTTACCAAACTCCCTTTAAGCCACAGCAAAGAATCTTGGTTAACTTTCAGAAAGATTTTTCTCCACTTTAACAAACTGACAAAAAAAAAAAAGAATCAAAAGAATCCAGTAACTCGAATAAAATGCTGGTAGCTCTCTATTGCAGGTCCTCAGGGAATGGCTGTGCCAGATTTTGCTTTATTACCAGAAGAAAAGCAGGACACGTTTCAGTAAATTATGTTTAAGAATGGGCAAAAATTAATCTAAAATTATCACCTTTGATCTGCAGAGTTGCTGAGACTCAGTTTTTCCAGTGCAACCTGTTAGGTCAGAACCAGAGCTGAAGAAAGGATGACTTTTAGTGCTGATTTGGCTGAAATCTCATCAGAGCAGCCCTTCCTCCAACTTTTGGAGCCAGCAGTGAAACATGATGAAAGCAGTAATGGTTCACAAGATTTTAATGTTTTCAAACCCAGACCAGCACCACAGCCCTGATGTTGATCTAAATCCAAACGCTACTCGTGTCAGGATGAAAGCTATCCTGCAGTTACAACACACCCTGCCGTTTGACACACTCGGGCTAGCTGCAAAGCAGCCAGCCTGGATACTGGTGGCCACAGGAGGTTGCTGCAAGATTCAAGTTCTGCCCAGGAAAAGAAAAACAATCAAACCATGCCAAGGTAAGCTGCTGTGCCTAACTAGCTCTGACACCCACAGCACCAAATTTCAGGCTAACTCAGCAGCATCACCAGGGACTGCAGCACAGACATACGCTCAGGCAGAGTACTTTAATACAGGAAGTGTACGTTTATCACATCCCTTTTTATCATATCCTTTTTTAGTATGAAAAAAAAAATACGCCAGTAACACATTTTCTGTATTACCTGCATTGCTGTTCTTAATTATGTTGTTACTGTCCCCCTCTGCTGGCTGCAATATACTGGAAGGAACCCAGTCGCTTTTCTCGGAGACCAGTTTCTTCACTAACCTGAAATTCAGAGAACAGTCAGTAAATTTCCCTCCGTTCCCTTTCCCTGGGTTGTGTTCCTTAGAGGCGCACATTGTGCAGCTATTTCCCAAACTAAGGAAGAAGGCAGAGGACCCAGGGCAGTCCAACAGGTAGCCGGTGACTTAAGTTTCAGCAGTCTCGGATGGTGACCCAGTATCCCAGATCAAGCTCACTTGCAAGCAGCCTGTGTGACAAGGAAGCAGTGGCCTTGGCCTGTGTTTGAGACCCTGGGCCAAATCCAGAGCTCAGGAAAATGAATCTTTCATGTTGTCCATCCCCCTCGCTGTAAACAGTCTGGGGTGGATGCAGTTAGCTCACTTCCCACCTACTTCACCCTACGGGACTTGTTCCCATCTCAGCTGGCAGTCCGTTCTGAGTGAAGGCTCTGACTGCACAGGGACTTCAAGCAGAGCAGATCTTCTGCCTCCAAATTACCAATGGAAGGAGAATTCATGTGTCCAGCCAGGTCTGTTCTTAACACTCACTTGTCAGCAAGAGAGAATAGATACACTGAAACATATGCGAGCTCAAGGGGGCCAGATTCATTCCACTTTGTCAATCACATCTTATATCTAAGCCTTCGGGGGCTCAGAATGCTCTCTGGTTCACTGCTGCAGCTTGGTGGAAGACATGGGGATTCTACTGATGTATCCTATGGGAGGGTGCTGCCTTTGACAGTGTCCTTCTGGCTAGAAGGTGTCAAAAGCCCAAATATGCCCCCTCCATTTCCTCGATGTTAACTTCTGTCTTCTTAAGCCTCCTGTCACAAGCATTTGGGATGAAAGCCAACCAGGTGGAATTAACCAAAGCTGCTTGTATGTTCATGCCTCCCACTGCCTCTTTCACATTGTGGTCAACAGGGTGAGTGGATTTGGATTTTTGAAGAGGTTTTGACATTCTTCTGAATATTTTCCATCTTTTCCAGGAGGCTAGGACTGTTCTACTTGTCGAATTCTGTCACTCTGCTGTACTTACCATTGACCATTCTCTCCTTCCTGCACAAACTGCACTAAATCTCCATCCTCGAGTGTAAGAGAATCTGGGAAACAGCTGTCAAAACTGCCTTCTACTCGAAAAAGGTTGGTCCCCTAAAATGAATGAAACAATGCACCAGAAATATAGTCACTATGGATGAAAGAACACTGCAAGAGAGAGCGAGTTAAATAGTACATTAGACATTTCAAGCTGGCAGAGACTTCTTCTGTATGGAATTGTATCACTTCTTATTCCTTTTGTCATACCCAGGATAAATATTATTCAAACTTTGCACAGAACTGTGCCGTGCATTCAGGCATTAGAACTAACTGGCCAGACATTTTTCTGATATAGAAATTGGGTTTGTGACACCAGGTTAAGTTATCTGGAAAAATCTGAAATTGCTTGTTTAAAGGCTCAGCGTTTCCCCTCACTTTTGTAACAGGTACAGCTTAGAAGTAAGGGTAACTTTTTATGGTCCTGATCCTGATCAACAAAACCATCTTGGAATAATCTTCCAACACCCCAGATCAAATTCCCATCTTCTGTATTCCCATGCATCCATGAATTTAAGGCTGGTATGAAACCAAACTTTGCAGGTTAAATCACGATCTTTAGAGAAAAAGAGGCTGCAATGGGAAAGGGCATCATAATTTGAAAAAGGAGTTACATTGTTAGGGTTGGTCTCTTCCTCCAAGTCAGAAGAGTTGGAGAGTTCATCTGTGCTGGAGGGGATGGCTTCAAAATCTTCAAATGTGTCTAGAGATGGCATTTGCCTGCTGGGCCAACCTTTTCAAAGGAGATACAACAAAAAGAGTTAGCTATCAGTCATGAGCCTGTTTCACACTCAGTCTTTCAAAAACAAATGTCACAGGTTTCTTGCCACTATTCCACTTACAAAGGCTTGTACCTTTTTACAATTTGTTCCCTGATTTTGCCATTAAAATTACTTTGAGGCCATTATTCTGTCTCTAAAAACCTGCACCACTTGCTGTCATTTGTGGGAGGGCAGATTGTGTGGCAACAGCATGTTTGCCGATCAATACCTTGAGTGTTTAGCATTGCTAAGTCTCTTCAGTTCAGGAGGTACAAGCAGCAAGGACCAGGAATATTTCTGCAGAGTGAGCACTGTAGCAAATGACAACTTTTACTGACGTGATTTTCGGAAGGCCATGGTCATTCAGTTTCCAGCTTACCTCTACGTGTTTATCTATAAATTGAAGTCCGAAGCCATTGAATTTTGGTTGCCTTCTTATCTGCATCTCACCCCAAGGTCATATTACCACCTGAGCAACTTGCTAGACTATACCCTGGGGCAGGCTGGAAGTGCAGGGAAGGGACAAAGTAAGCAACAAGGCACAAAGACAACCAGACCTTGGTGCTAGGTAGAGAAGATTTTGTTCATATTTCTACTGTTAGCCGTCTTATTGCATGATTTGCACCCAAAACCACACCAGGCCAGTGGAAGGGACTTAGCAAGAGATTTCCAGCCCAAGCACAACAGCCAGTTTCTTTCCCACAAAGTCATGCCCAGAGGATGCGTCCTGAGGGAAATTCAGGCTGAGCCTTATAAGACCTGCCTGCCTGAGGCTCCCATGATGGCAAACTCAGCCTCCTCTGTTCGGATGGCAATCATGATCTACACTTTCCTTCACACTTGATGCCTGTCCCTTTTCAGTCCAGCTGGGAGGAAACAGACCTTGCACCTACCAAGGGATTCTGCGGCCCTGACAGGTACAAGCTGAATGGAGTCAGTCAAATCACTGCGTGCCTGCCTACTTCATGTAGCTGCTGTGCATTAGCTGATTGACAGGGACTTTGGCTGAGCAAATGCTGCATCAGGTTCTTTACAGCCTGTGGGCTGTTGCTCTTGGCAAGGCAAAGCCATGCTCTGACAACAAGGCATGCAGACGGATGCTCATGCAGTGGGATTATGCATAACCCAGCACACATAACCCGCAGCAACACCTGGCCTGAGACAATACAAAACCCAAGCCAGACAGTAAGCAGAAAAGCAACCTGACCTGGGAGAAATAGGATTATTAATTGATTTATTTAATCCCTGCCCATGCACATCCTCCCTGCTACAGGCACTGGTTGGTGCAACATGTGCTCATGCAGCTCTGCAGCCCCTTCTCCTCCCTCCTGTTATGCAGGGGCTCTGACTGCCCTGACCACCGCCATTCAGTTACGAGAGAGCCAGAGACCTTCTTCCACCAGAGCAGCATCCCCGGTTATAACCCAACAGGTACAGTTAGGTCATCCATACTTTTCAAGGCGTAAAGTAGCCTCTGAAGTGACATTCACGTGCTGGGTTGTGAATGTCCCTGCCAAGGTCTATACCAGCAGAGTTTTGAGATGGAAGAGGCAACTTCAGCTGCAGACCATGCAGCATGTAGAACTGGACCCCATATTCTGTATCAGTTGAATCACACCAGCAAAATATTAGCAACTGTCCAAATGTGCAAGAATACATTGATGCTAATTAGCTTCAAATTGCTACAGCAATTCTAGTTCAAGTTCACAGGTTGGGCTATGAACACCAGAAGAAAAAGCTATCCCCCTTCCCCCTAGACAAAGCTTCAGTAATCTTTTGCCACTGTCGTTTATAGAAAGCATTCAAGGCAGAAACCTGAACAGCAAGGATTCCTTACAAATACATGCACCAGCCTTCCTCTTCCATACAAATTGCTATTCTAATTTCAGAGATTAAATTTTACGTACTTAATTCAAGCTAGAAAATAACACAGATCAAATTCTGAGCTCTCTGACATCAATTAAAAGAATTATTTTCAGCTGTGCCTGACCTACAGAAAACCAAAATCTAGGACATTGTTTCTATACCTGCTAGCGATCCAAGCTAGTTCTTTCATTGCTTTCACAGAAATAATGTTCATTAAAAGAGAAAAATCTCTTTAATTTAAAGAGATTCAATATTATCATAAATTTATATTACATTCTCAAATTGAGATGATAAATATTTTAATTTTGTTTACCTGTCTGTGAAGCAGATCTAGGTACAGGTCTCATGGTGGAACCGGTATTACATTTAGTCTGGGCCAATATGGTGTTCTCAAATGCATCTGTGACAGGAAGTATAATTTGTGTCTTCAGGGTGAAACAGGGACCAGACAACCAGTACAAAGTGAATTCCTGTATCACATCTGCAACTGGCAGTCTCTTTAAGAAACACGTGGACTGGGGTCCAACAGTTATAAGAGAGGAGACACATGACCAGCACAAAAGAGTGAAAAGACAGCAGCATTCCACAAAAAAACTGTAGGTCTGAGAAGGACAAAGAACAGCCAAATGAATGAAACAAATATTGGTGTTAATTAAGGAAAACTATTACTGGATGAACAGTGCAGTGTTCCATTTCACTACAGCTTCCTTACACATTTTTAACATATTTTCCTTGCAGCATTTCAAATCATTCTGTAGGTGATGGTATATGGTTTTGATGCCCATCCATACAGCAACGTAAGGGGACCAGGGAGGCTCTTTTTCCCACCCAGAAATGAATGATTTCACTCCTGCTGA